AAAAAAAAATTAACCTCCTTGGAAAAATTTATTAAAAAACAACCTTTTTTTCAGATTATCGTTTTTGACACCCCCCCCCCCCCACACACCTTTTTTTCAATTGGCACTCACGGCACGTGTCTTGTCCCATCCTAAGGCCTCAGTACGCCTCCGAGTTGAAGCGATTCTCAAATACAGCGTTTCCCAAATGTTTAAGTTTGGCGGAATGGTGGCCACCTTTTGAAATTGCACCAGGGACTTGTGCCGGATTTACTAATTATATTTTAAACCATAAAAATCCATGTTGTGCGGACCGGAAAAATAACGCTCGTGGACCGTTGGAACGCTGCTGATATAGTCTCCAAGAGTGGCGATTATTCCATTTAGAGGGTTGCATTATCCAATATTGATATGGTGTCCAATTTTCTTTTCTCAACATCTTAACATTCAGGGGACATCCATTTAGTCAGTACGTTACAAAAAAAAAAGCAGGTAACATTTCGACCACCTCCAAACTGTTGCTCGCGTACTTTTTGGACACTCCCCTTCCCCCATGCGCACGTACACAGAGGCGTAGCGAGGGGGTGGCAGGGGGGACAGATGTCCCCGGGCGCCAGCTAGTTAGGGACGCCAAAATGTGCTTTAATATTATTTATTGATACAAATAAGGGGTTTGAGAGTTGAAAAAAAAAAAAAAAAGGGGGCGCTTTAAAATGGGTCTTGTCCCCGGGCGCAAATCTTGTCCCCGGGCGCCAAACACCCTCGCTACACCTCTGCACGTACAACAAGCTGCCACCCCACCCCCCACACACACACAAACAGAGACAAACACACACAAATGAAATCAAATAATGTTTATAGATAATTATGAAGTCACAGAAATATTTGGCAACATTTGTCAACTCCGACTATTTGGCCAGCCCAGTGGTTCCCATATCGTAAGCAGCGTCGCTCTGGGAGCCACGTTGCCCTCGGGCAGAGCCATGAGAATATGGGGCAAAGAGGGTTTCACACCGGGGGCCAACATAATGGGCGCCAACAGCATGGGTGCCAACAGCATGCGTGCCAATAGCATGGGCGAAAACAGCATGGTTGCCAACAGCATGGGCGCCAACAGCATGGGCGCCAACAGCATGGGCGCCAACAGCATGGGTGCCAA